TGTAAAGTGTGGTCGTTTCACAGGCGCCATAGAGGTTTCCTCAGTGTCAATAGCTTGTGCAGCAGGTTTTTGCTCAAACAGAACATTTTCCCGGTCCGACAAACACCATATTTCCCAGATCACGTCCGTTGCAATTTTTACCCCTTCAAATTTCAAATCCTAGTCGATTTAAACAAGATTTCAATGAACCCCAAGAAAATACGCCAAGGCAGCTGCGCGTTATCTCAAAAAATGATGTTCAAGAATGCTTCCATCAATGAAAACAACGCTGGATAAAATGTGTGGTTTCATAAGGTTTGGTTTGGTTTGATTTGTTTTACGGCATATCAACCTCAATGGTTTATTTAATGCCGACAAAATTTTCATTGCTGGTAATATATTTTTTTCAAACATGTATTGCTAATAATATTTTTCCTTCAAAAAATCAATTTCTGATAAGATTTTTTAAAAATTTATTGCTGATAATTTTTTTTTTTTTTGCCTAAAATGTATTTTTTTTACAAAGCATTTATGGTATTAAAACTTATTTTTACACTTTCATAGCGTTTTGATCCCAGTTTGGGGTTAACTATTTGCCCATAGCTGGGACCCTAACAGGTGCTACCACTCCGATTCAGTGTGGACCTGGGAACACCAGAAATTATAAGTGGTTTCACGGCCCTCAAAACCTCCTGATCAGAGACCTTGCTATTGGTTTATCGTCTTACCCAGGACGCGGACTTAGTTTATTGTCTTACCCAGGACGGGGCTTCATAAGGAGACTACTTCGAAGGAGATTAAATGCCGAATTGATATATATTTATATATATTTACTACAACGTTTCGGCCGTTGTACGCTCCGGTATTCTTCAGGTGGTTGGAATGTCGAACTGAACCCTTTATTTCGCTCACAGGTGTAGACTGTTCTATGTGCCATGTTTATTGGATGTCGGTTGTCAGTTATCTCCTGTTACTTCCCCTCTGAAAGTTATCCACTGCCTTACTCGGGTATTGAAGTCACGCTCTTTGACACGTGGAACTAGAACAGTCCGACCCAGTGAACGAAATAACGCGTTCAGTTCGACATTCCAAACACCTGAAGAAGGTCGAAACGTTGTAATAAATATGGCAACAAAGATGAGGACAATAGTCCGAATAATGTAAATAGTGTACATAATTTTACCTTATCTCAGAAATATAGACAGATACTGATTTTTTTTGTTGTTGAGACATGAGCGGGATTAATCTCCCAAAAAGCAATTTGGGTCCTTCTTCACAGCTTATATTTTCTCCATACACCTGTCACCACAGAAAGACTTGTAATAATAAGTTGAGACAAGTTATGACAAGACCGGATGTCCAACTTAGACACGTTAGTCCAAGCACATCGAGTGTTTTTTTTGATGAAGACCCCATCTATAGGAAGGTTGGCATTCAAGGCTTGAAAGCACATCCTAGCCTTATAGAAGCTGGTGAATCGGAAGTCAACCGTGATTAGGCTCTAAAATACCAGAGGATTCACCGTTTATTAAACTTAATATGAGAAAAGTTGAAGGTGACGAATGGTACACAAATCGATAGCCAATAAGTAACAATTTGGTCACCGTGGAGATGCGGTATGATGTTGAAAGATTTGAAACTCCTAATGAACCTCGGCTAAAACATCACTGACAAACTGATGATGTGTGCCAAAACTTCAAACATGTATTTCACAATATATATATATATATATATATTGTTTTTAATTTAGGTAAGCGAGTCAGTAATGAATTATGCATCGGAAAACAATTCATATTTATCTGTTTCTCACACATTTAAACTGTCTTTTAACTCCTGTCTTCTCTCTGTTAAATTTTAATCCCCACCTTCACTTTTAGGCCTCTCCTGTTCTTCTCCCATCTGTTACCCCTCTCTATAGCTTTCATTTACCTCTTACATTCGTTCTCCACTGTCATACATACATTCTCACTAAATTTTATTTTTTATTCCCGGAGTTATTTTTTCTGATTTCCTTTTGAATTTGTAGGTCTGACGAATTGGATCGTAATTACGATTCCAATGTAATAAATTATAACCATGGAATATTAGTGCTTAAGCCTTTATATATATATATATATATATATATATATAAATATATATATATATATATATATATATATATACGGATTGCAAAGATTTTCGTTCCTTAACTATATATATATATCGACGACGACGCCCGCTATGGCAGGCTCCAGCGGAACGAAAAGAGACGCCTTTCGTAATACCGTGACGTCACCGGTTGCGGTCCCGGCTTAGAGGCTTTCAGCCGTTATATATATAGCAGCAAAGTTGTTACTGTGCATAAAACATTTAGATAAATTTGTTGCTCAACCACATACACCCACACGCACACCCACACACACATATACAAAGCTACTAATATATATATATATATATATATATATATATATATATATATATATGTAAAAGACAATAGGAAAACTGAAATTGTGACCGACGCTTTTCGTCCAATGTGGACTTTTTCAAAGCAAAAACGAAATGAATTTATTTAAACAAAGTAACTAATAATAACAAAACAAAGTGTCCTTAGTAACTGGAAGAATTTAGAGAACGCTATTTTCATACTGTTGACTGAAAATTACGTCAAGTACTGTCACGTGTCGAGATATTGTTTTTATTGTTGTGTTGACGGATTCGACTATTTTCTTTTGATATCTGTTCTGTACGTTTGTTTGGGAGAGCAGTAATTTTGTTAAGAAAGGTGCAATAGGGAAAAAGCCTGAGCGTAGATTAATATTTGGATAATATTCAACGGCGGAACTCTCGAGGATTTTACTTCTGAGTGAGTCATGTTTTTTGCCTCGAGAATGTCCACATTGGACGAAACGCGTCGGCTACCATTACACTTTTCCTATTGTCTTTTACCTTTATAAATATTGTCTTCTTCTACAGGTTAACTCTGAGAAATTTTTCATATATATATATATATATATATATATATATATATATATATATATATATAATTAGAAAATCTGCTGATTCCGCTAAATTGGTTTTAATCTTGCAGTATCTTCAGGTGCCTGAAGTTACTTTCCTATACTTAAAAGCTCTACATGTTGAATCTTTAACTTTTATATATGTAGTGATCACTTCATAATATTATCTTTTGCTTGTCTAATTCAATTGATTATTAACTTCTTTATATATATATATATATATATATATATATATATATATATAACCCCCACAATATATATATATATATATATATATATATATATATATCCTTCCTCCAAAAACCCTACGTACATCTCTTATATCTTATCACTTTACTTCCCCTCTATTTATTTTTTTTGCCCCTTTTCCCTTTTCCCCATATCATTTCCGTTGATTTGACCGATTAAATAGGTCAATGTCTGATCCTTACCCCCTCTTCCTCAATATTAAGTATTGTAATAAAAATAGAAATGAATTTTAAAACTCACCCTTCCCTCTCTAAACTCGACCATGTCTCTCATACTATTCCTCACCACCCTCTATGTCAACATATATAAGCTTAATATTACCCGCCAAAAGTGTAAACTTTAAATTCATTTTTCGTTTCACCTTTGAAATTCTCTGGTGAAATAAATTAAAACTAATGTCACCTTAAAGTGGTCTGTTTTTTCTTTAAATTAAACTATTCGCTCTGAAATAACATTGAGCTCTCAGGATTTCATCCTCCTTGGGATTATCCATACGGAGTAACAAAATTTTCGCTACTCAGTAGCTCCTTTTATATTATGCTCTATCTTTGATACTGATTACTTTAACCAATAAATATAGCATACTGTAAAACTATATATATATATATATATATATATATATATATATATAACTATCAAGATGGCCAAGGTGGGAATTCGCAGAGTCAGGAATCTTCTATCCTCTATCTTAAAATCAGCGTGAAAGTGGCCGTTTGATCAACACAAAAACTGTCTAAAGTTAACGATTAAAACAACAAATGAAAACTACAGATAAAGTTCACTTTTTTTAGTAAGTCATATATATATGTATATATATATATATATATATATATATATATATATGGGTTTGTGTGTGTGTCTGTAAACTGGGGACAAAATACAAAAAAAAAAAAGAAAAGCAATCGTGAAACAGTGTCCTAAAATAGAAAATGTCGCGGTTTCACAATTTGAAGGGAATTTTATTGCTGTTGGCTTGTTTGTGTTTTATGGTTATGCCTTCTTGTATTTGTAGTCGTTTTTCTTTACAATTTATGTAGCTTATCATTTTTGTGTTGATATTGACGCACCCAAAGCAATCCGACAACTGCTTATCAATAAAGCATAAAAACTGTATTACATAAACTGTAAAGAGAAACGTCTACAAAAGCTAAAATAATAATCCTAAAAACAAACAATGAATAATAATAAAAATGATAATTAAAAAAATAATTACCTGGACAGCAACATTTCATTTACACATGTATTTTTGAGTACGATCGAATAAGAAATATTTCGTTAAAAATCTAAAAGAATATATTTTTCAAATCCATGTCCCACGCTAAAATTACTGATATTGTAAACAATAGATTTTCTTTATTTTTCCAGTGTTGTCTTCTGAAGTAAATTCCTTAAATATTATCTAACAGAAGCGCCAGTGGGACATCAGTTTGTATTTATTATCTTATCTTGATAAATAAAATCTGATATGTTTCTAAGAATAGCCAGCGATTTGTTGAAAATGCTGAACTTGACCGCAAGAACTCTGGACGATAACTTCATAGATTTTAGCCAACCCTATTATAAAAAAATGCCATGGAACCACGAATAAAATGTTTCTTGTCTATCATATTCAATAATAATATATTCAATAATATTTGTACAAATGTACGAATGTAGGTTTAATGAGTGAGCAATTGGGAAAGTGATCTTTTGAAAGACAGCATCGGAAGCGTTTTGAGAATTGACCCAAAAATGGCGTCATTATCGTTCGATTTCAAATGATTTTACCACTTTTAGATGAGAAGTAAGCAGCGAGAACAAAGGCAAACAAGTCCTGCCAGTGATTTTCAATTTCTATCTATCTATCTATCTATCTATCTATCTATCTATCTATCTATCTTCATTATCTATCGATCTAGCAATTTACCTATCTTAGTATATTCATATCTATGTATTTGTTCACATCTATCTATCTATCTATCTATCTATCTATCTATCTATCTATCTATCTATCTATCTATCTCATTCTGTTCAGATCTATCTATCTATCTATCTATCTATCTATCTATCTCATTCTGTTCAGATCTATCTATCTATCTATCTATCTATCTATCTATCTATCTATCTGCCTATCTATCTATCTATCTATCTTGTATAAGTTTTAAGTGGATATTTGTAGCTTCTAGAGTACAATATATATATATATGTGTGTATGTGTGTGTATGTGTATGCGTGTGTGTGTATGTGTATGTGTATGTGTGTGTGTGTATGTGTGTGTGTGTGTGTGTGTGTGTGTGTGTGTGTGCAAATAAATTGAAAAATAGGAAAGGACCGTTAGGTTAATAATCCGAAGTTCCATAGTATTTTTGTTTTATTTAAAAAAAAACAACAACAAAAAAAAACAAAAAAAACAAGCAGTGCTCAATACACAAGTAGATCCTAAATTATAATTATTTAAAAAAAAATATGATTCCATCGCTACATAAGAGTTCTCATGTTTCAAAAACAGAAGCTAAAAAACCAGCTCTGTTTCATCCTCAAGCGAAATTTGGAATAACTAATCTTGAAATTTATGGAGCTTTGTAAGCCTATACATTTGTAATATTAATTACTATGGAAACGGCGAAACCAATTATTTTAATAAGGGACGGAAGGTTTTACATTTTCACTGACAAATATTGTATCAACATATTAGATACATTCGGAAAGAAGTTATGTCAAGGTTGGGTCGGGGTACCTATTTTCAAGCGAATGATGACGTTTCGCGCATATCGTCTGCTCTATTTCAACGACAGAGAGTTATTGGCATTTTTGTTACTCTGTTAAATTCGTATTTGTATACCTAAAGATTTGTTTTCTAAAAGGGTTGTTTGTATATGAATACGTCGTATTAAAATACAATTTGTATTTTGACGACTTCATAAAAGTTTTCTTTTTGTTTGTTTTTATCTGATTATTGGGTTAAATTTTTAAACCTATTGCTTTAACTGAACTTGTTTATAAACTATGAAATTAAAAAAAATAAGCTAATTATTTAAGGCAAAACTGTTTGGATGTCAGCAAAAACAGTTAACTCATGTCTATGATTTATTAAATTTTCGTTTTTTAGAAAATTAATAATGTGTAGCTTTTCATGTAGGCATAAAGGGCATGGGTCATTCCAGGTTTTACAAGTTCTTGTTCTATTTATTATTTTCCATTTTTTGGTGTTTTTTTCATTTCTTTTAAATGCCAAAAATATTTGGATAGAGATGTCTGATTTCTATTTCTAATATTATTGAAGGAGCTTTTGTGTTGTCTCCACCTAATTTTAAATTCATTCTTCGTGGATCCGATATATATCAGTTCAATATTAGGATTCTCAATGGATGAGATTATGCATTGGTATACCATAGATTCTATGCAGCATTTATTTTCCAACGGGCAGTCTTCAGGGTTTCTACAATCAAGTAATTTTTCATTATTTTTGTCTAATTTTAGTTTAGGGTTTTTATTAATACTGTTTTGGCATGCGTATTTTTCCAGGATTTTATTATGTTTTTTTTATGATTCTTTCTAGATTTTCAGTGCGGCTGTAGCTTAATTTAAGGTGATTTTTTTTTTATTAAAGATCGTGCTAAGTTTGCTATCAGTAGGAAAGTGTTTTTCTATAAAAGCTAGGAACTTATATCCTAGCTTAACCATTTCGGTGAACGGAGGGGTATACCAAATGATTTCCCTTTTCCTGTTTTTCTTCTGGTTAGTACTATTGTTTCTATAATTGGCGTTAGCGTTTTTGAATCCATTATTTTTTAGAACTGTGTTGTAAAAATTACAGTGATGTTGGAATATTTCCTTATTAGCAGAGTTCATGCTGATTCTTTTCTCTATTGTTGTGGGTATATGCTTAATTGTGGATGGAGGATGGTTTGACCTGAGGTGTACATACAAGTGGTTAGATTTAGGTTTATATATATATATATATATATATATATA